TGGTATACGCAATGATGATGAGGACAGCACAAATGGACTGCAATATAGTATCGCAAGCTATCGTCAGTTTCAGTTGAATGTGGCCACTGACCCACCCTCTTTTATGCTGTAGTTTTTCTTACGTTGTAGTTTGATATCCCTTTTGTCTTAGCACTATTGACTGTTATTGTTATTACTAATTGTGCACATTAGATTCTACTAACAGTAAACGTGATTGTGACTTGCAAATGTTTTTCTATCAAATATTCAGTTCCCACCCCTAGTCCACCACATTTTAAATTTATTATATAGCTAGAGATGCATTAGTACTATACAGTCAAACCTCACATTGTTGAACTCTAAAATAAGGACCCCTCCTTTGATCACAGCAGGTATACAGTATCACTCCCAATACAATATAAATGTGTATTAATCAACCTCTAAAGTAAGGACACTTCTATAATAGGTACATTTTCATTGGGTCCCAAGGTATCCAAAATAGACAGGTCTGAGTGTAAATCTATCCACTCCTTTAATTGTTAAAAAGATAAAAACCACATTAATCAGATCCACACATTCAGTCACACAACAAAGCTAATGCATTAGTAATCCTCATTCTATGATCCTTTGACATTCCTGATTGCTTTCTCCAACATATCCCATTGCTCTTGAGTGACCTGTACCAGAAATGAAGAAGATATATGAAAAGGCTACATTAATTAATGAGCCAACACAACCACCACACTTCAATCTAATTTTTTACAAGCTACAGCTTCCATTAAATTAATCTCTAAATCATTAAAATTATTTATACTCAAAAGTTAGTAGACTGGTAGTTACAGCAAAGTTAGTTACATTGTATAAAAAATACATATGGCCAGCTAGGCAGCACATACACGTACATGTACTGTAGGCAGTAGCTAAAAACTTTTATAGCACATTAACAGTACTCTAAAAGTCCCATATACATGTACATTGTATTTAAACACAAGGACTTGTACATTTACATGCATTTAAAAGACTCTTTCTCTCCTCCTTACTTGTGTGAGCTGATTGAACATTCCAGCAGCATATGGTAACTGTCCACCATCAAAAGCAATAATCTCTCCATTAATCCAACTAGCATAATCACTGACAAGGTAAGTGGAGAGGTTTGCCAGTTCTTCAATTTCACCTAATCGTCCAATGGGAATCTGTTCCAGTGTCCTCTTCATGAATTGACCAGTTGGATCAAGACGAGTGAAAGCACCCTATAAATACATTTGTAATTACAAAAATCTTAGTATAATTCTAAAATTTCTGTCAATTAGCATATAATCACAAAACTAAAGCATGTACATGTACACGTATCTATGGTAAAATATTCAGTCTTCATTTGCTCATTATCAAAATTAAATTAAAACAAAATTATACATGTAATGTACATGTACATGTACATATTTCATACATGTACATGTATTAAGTATGATACCTTAGTTTCAATAGGTCCTGGGGCTATAGCATTAAACCTCATTCCATATCGTCCCCACTCACTAGCTAACGACCTAAAAATAATTAATAGGAACCACAATCTCCTATATACATGTACAATGTAAATCAGTTCTTTTAGTTTGTGCTCACA